TTTCCCGCACCGATACTGGCCCGTGAGCAGGACCGTGAGCTCCATGCGGGGAGGGCAGGCGATGCATCGAGATAAGGCGACCACATCAAGAGCGAGGCATCGGGTCCGGCCTGCAGGGCGTGTATGAGAGACCTGCCTTGCTGACTGTCTCACTTCGGTCATGGCCCCTCCCGGTACGGTCCGCTCGCGCGCACTCATTTCCATCGTGAGGAGCATGGCAGGTGGGCCCGTCTAGCGCTTAGGAGGGCAGCAAGTCAGGGAGGGCGGAGAACTGAGCAATGCAAGACCAAGGCGGGGGGCAGGGGGGGGGGGGTCGGAGGAGATGTCATGGTCGTCAGAAGCTACGGGCCATGGATGTCCCCGACACTGCTGGTCGGACAGGTCTGGGAGAGCCTGACGGAGAGAGTGTGCAGCCGCACCCGCAGCTTCAGTTCTTGATCTGATGCCCGCTGAGGCCATACGGATCGCTCCTACGATACTGGCAGCACGTCCCCATTCTTGAGCCCGGTCATTTACAGTGAGGCTACTATCGTAGTAGGGCTACCGGGCTAGGCTACTGTCGGCGGCGATCCGACCGCGGCATGTCTCGTGTGCCGGCCCGGCCGGGCATGAACCGATGGCCGTCACTGAGATGCTCACACTGTCCGATCTCTACAAGCGGCCCCGTCCGAGCCCAGGCCGTCACTCCCGGGTAACGAGAAACTTCCGAATGAGTGTCACGAGGTGCCAAGCAACATGAAGTTGATCAAGCGATGCGATTTCACTCTCCGGTATACCCCGAGTGTGACAGGCGTCCGATCCTTCTATCTGTCCCAAGGTCACGGTACCATTTGTCCGACCTTGGCAAGGTCACGGTACCAACTCCTTCGCTTCTGTATCCCCTGCCAAGCGATGCGATTCACAGCCTCGAACCGGCGTCAGCTCCGCCGTCAGCCGGCCCCGCCCCCTACCGCATAAAAAGGCCCTGCCCCCTTGCTCCTGCACATCACTGCTTCCCCGCTCCTGTAAGCCCCAGCAAGCTCCCTCCAAGCTCCAGCCTCCCCCCCTTTCACACTCGGTCTCCCTTGCCTCCGCCTGTCCTCAAGCCTCCTTCCCTTCTGTCTCCGCCCCAGAGCCCCCTCTGCTTGTCAGCCCTCCCCGCTGCTCCCCTTCCTCCCTGCTACTCGCCCAAGACCCGCGCTGGCGTGCCCTTGCTCGCTGATCGTCTGCTGATGGTGCCATACACGTCGACTCTCACCGCTGACCTCTCCGCCTCCTCCCGCCTGGGCCTTGACGACTCCTCCATCCCGGCCGTCTTCCTCCAGTACTACGGCTGTAGCCCTACTCCCTGCGTCGTCT